AACGTTATCTCTGCTTTTCCATAAAGAAACTATTAAGGTAAAAGTGAGACTTTGAGAGTGTTTTCAGGTTCATGATCTCCACATTATGCCCAGGCCCACCTTAGACACCTCTTTCTATGTATGATAGTATGAGGCTTGGATAGGCAGGACAGAGAAAAAGAGCAAAGTAAGGAGGCCTAGGCCATCCCTGAGAGTATATAGCACCTGTAACAGCTGCTCCAACACACTGTATAATCTAAAACAAAGAGGAATTGGTCCTTCACATAATTGCCTTGCCTGTCTTCTTAGCTACTGATGAACTAAGGCATGATCTTAAAAAAGAGATTGTTTCAGATCATCACACATCAACATTTTGCATCTGTGACAAGATACAGGATGTTTTGCATCTCAATCCACAACTATTAACCAATGTTCATGCAGTGCCTGAGCGCACATACAGAACTTGTGATCTGCAGCACTGGCTGAGATGTTAGTCCAGTGGTGTATATTGGAAAGTTAATTGGGGGTTCTTTAAAGGGAACTGTTGTTTGTTGAATAACTTTTATGTTAGGTCTGTGTTTGTACCTTGGATTCTGATAGGTTGGTAAATAAACTCTCTTGACCTAATTTATTGTTAGAATCACAGACTCATTGCTAAATTTAGCTCCAAGGTAATATTAAGGATCAAGTAGGTGCCAGATGCTGTGCTAGGTGCACTCAGAGGCAAGTAAGCAATTGCCCTTGCATTCTAATTGGAATACAGGCCACCATTTTCATGTGTCCTCAGTCCCCCTACTATTGGATAGGACCCTCCCACACATTTTCTTCATATCATATTTTATGATAAGATTTTGTTCCTGTACAATATTCTTAAATACCTTGAGAAACAAAGTGGGTAAGAAGGGCTCTGGAATAGGATAAAGGATAATTTTAGCCTTAGCAGAGATCAGTAAGAAATGACTCAAGAGAATCGTAATGAGAAGCAGAATAAGTACTGCATTTGCAGGTATTAAAAATGTTGCAAAAATAATCTGTACAAAGGAACCTATCTCAGTATAAATATTGAGAAAGTGGGATAGGGAAGGCATCACAACTATGGTGCACAGGAAGGAAAGGCTAGAATGGTGATCTTGCTTCTGTTAGGGGAAAGGAGAATGGGTATCTAGCCAGACTTCTTCTCTGCTCTGAGACTGACTGCACAAGTATGTCAGCTGGCAGTACACATGGAAAAAACCACAATTAATACAGACAGCATTCATGTATTTGCATTTGACGTTTGGGGGGATTCCTCTGTGTGTTGACGTTTTCTAATTTTATTCAGACCTTGGCTGAAATGCCATCTCTACAATAAGGACTTTCTTGACCAACCTGTTTAAAACAATACCCCCTATACCCAGTCAATCTCTGTTCCTTTTATCCTTTTTACTTTTTATCTTGAAATGTATTGCCACCTGACACATTTCTTTTTCTATTTGTTTATTTTTTATTTCCCTCCTCTAGAAAGTAAGTTGTATAAAAGTGAGAACTTCACCATCTTTAGTTCACTGTTCCATTCCTAGTGTCTATAATAGTGCCTCAAAGTGGACTAGCATCTACACTTTTTTGTCATTGGACCTAAATTTTCTTAAGGTTGTGTATCTGATTCATTCAGTCCACTATTCTCTTTGTGAAAGATTGGGCTTTTTTTCCAAGAGTCACTAAGGTGGTAGGCCATTTCCAGCTGTATTGTAAACTGACTTGTAATTTCTGCTCTTCAATAGACAACAGAAGTAAAACAGGCTGTTTTTCAGAGACCAACTCAGAACTTCCCTGAAACTTTTAGCATTACCCAGGCAGCAATGACTTCAACTAAAAGCTCTCACAAGACAGCTAAGTGAGCCTTTCTTAATCATTTGTTTTTCAATAAAGATGCTATATTTTTATTTTTCTCTTTGTAATGTGATCCAATTGTGCATATGGGGAGGGAAGTGAATAAAACTTATGGCCAAGATTTCATCTGACTTGCAAATGAAGATCTAAATGCTAGCAAAAATGCACAGACACATGCAAGTGAGACGCCCAAAGGCTGGTGCTCATAATAACCCAATTAACAGATTTTGAAACTTGTCAACCTGCAGTTCTCAGGTGAAGTGAAGAAACGCATCCTGAAAGTTGTAAGAATGGGAACATTGAGCAAGGCCATATCAGACTTCACTACTTGAGCAGAACATATTTCTCCCTAGTTCAAAATAAAATAGCCACAGTACAGCCAAAATCAATTGTATGATTTTGAATTCAGCAGCTGCTTTTGAAAATGTTGAATGATTCACAGAAAAATAAAATTTAAAAAATCAGCCACATAGTCTCAACAAATAACAAAGAAGCAATATCTTTCAGGGGGCATTCTCTAAGCATAATAAAATATGTTGCCAGAAAGCAACAGAAAACTACATTTGGAGACATAGAAAATTCCAAAAAAGCATCTGAAAATAAATTTTTGGTACAAGACGAACAAACAAAAAAAGTCTAGTTAAAAAAAAAACAACACATATATTTACAAGTAATTAAAAATAAGTTAAATGAAAAAAACATAAAAACTTGTGGAATTAGTTAAGTATAGAGAAAATGTATAACCTAAAAGCATATATTTAAAAAATACAAAATATTGGCTATGAGTAAGCTAAGCATTGTACAAAAAAAGTTAAATGAAAAAGGGCCAGTTAAATAGGGCCAAAGAGAGTATAAGAAAGAAACTAATAAAACTATGAACAGAAACTAATTATCAAGAAAAGAAACATGAAAGATAATCAACTAAGGCAAAAGCTAGACTTTTAAAAAGGTTCTTAAAACAGACATGTTGGCAGTATTGGAAAAGCAAAAAAGGGAGAAATAACAACAAATATTAGAAACCAAAATAGGAAAAACGAAGAACAACTACTTGTGTTTCGTTAGACCAAGTAATGGAGAATGGGTAACAGTTTGCAAACACTGAGAAAAGCTTCAGAGAAAGAACTTTAAAAGGTGGATCATTGTCTCTTAGAGGTTGAAATGGGTTAGTAATGTCTGAAAAATGAGAAACTGCCAAAAAAGCAGCTCATCATCAACCAGGGCTCAAGCACCTCAAGTAGAAAGACTTCTGATTTGACAACCAGAAAATGCGGAAAAAAAAAAAAAAAATTCACCATCTCTTAAACGCCTATTATTTAGTCAACACTTGACCTTTGGCCGAAGTGTCAAGTCTATATCATGTCTTCATGGTGCTGGTGATCTAACGCTGGTCTCTAACTCCAGCCTCACCTTGCCCTTGCACCATGTCTCCCATGATTCTCTTCACTTCAGACAGGTGAATCTGACTACAACTCCTTGTCTGATCCAGGCTTTCTCTTGGCTCAGGGCTTTGACAGACACTTTTCATCTATTGGAAAAGTTCTACTTCCTTCTCTGTCTACCTAATACCTCTACATCACTTCCTTCCATCCCTTAAACATCACTTCCTCAAAGAAGTTTTCTTTGAAGTCCAAAATTATGTTAGGGTCCCTTGCTATAGCAACCCACAGTGCCCTATACTGATGATTCTGAGCATTCCGATCACATAGCCAACATCTGTCCTCCTTGAAGACAGATGATAATATATGAAATACATATGAATATAATATAATGTTTACATATTACATATAATAATATATAATTATATAATATGTGTCATGTAGTGTATCATAATATATAATGATTATACACTATTATAATAATATATCTTATATATAATACACGTGCTCCTATACTTACTCATTGTATGTTAAACTCATCATAAGTCGAAACCCATAAACCCATCATAAATTGAAAATATCACAAATTGACCAGCCTGGGAAACATGGAGAAACCCCATCTCTACTAAAAATACAAAAATTAGCCTGACACAGTCGTGTGCACCTGTGCACCAGCAGCTACTTGGGAGGTTGGGGCAGGAGAATGGCTTGAACCTGAGAGAGGGAGGTTGCAGTGAGCCGAGATTGCACTCCAGCCCAGATGACGAGAGTGAAACCCTGTTTCAAAAATGAAAAGAAAAGAAAAGAGAAAAGAAAAGATTACAAATCTCAAATGCATTCAATATATCTAATCTACTGAACATCATAGTTTATCATATCCTATCTTAAATGTGCTCAGAACACTTACATTAGCCTACAATTGAGCAAAATCATCTACCACAAAGCTTATTTTATAATTAAGTGTTAAATGCTTATAACGAAGGGATGTAATTTATTGAATACTGTATTGAAAGTGAAAGCAGAATGGTTGTATGAGTAGTCAAAGTGTGGTTTCTACTGAATGCATGTCACTTCTGCACCTTTTCAAAATAGAAAAATTGAAAGTTGAACCACTGTACTTTGGAGACATCTTTATCATATTACATGTTATGTTAATATTATATATGTTTATATATGTTAATACATAACATATTGTAATTAATACATTATATTAACACAATTATATATAATTGTGCATAATTAATAGATTTATATTAATTATGATAGCATTAATGATACAGCTAACAATTATATTGATATATTCAACTAATACATAATCCAGCCCTTGGCAGAAAACCTTGCCAAACCTGTTAAATATTCATGGCAAAATTATGAAATTTTTCCCTCCACATTTTTTCATTTCTTAAGTGGGGATAATTGCAGTGCATATCCCATAAGGTTAAATAACTTAATAAATATAAATGCTTTGGAAGCATATTTGGCATTTTGTACTAACACATACATATTAGCTATTGTGATGGTAAATAATCACACCCTTCTCCTTTATGGAATCTGAAATAATTGAGAAAGAAATGCTGAAGTGTTCTGTACATTTAACTTATATAAATATACTACATAGAACGTACCTTGTGTTTAGCACTCTTCTAAGCACTTTATAAATGTTAATTTACTTCAGCTTCATAAATGACTCTTTGAAGTAGTTACTATTATTACTACCATTTTATAGATGGGGAAACAGAGGCACAGCAAGATTTTTATTGTCATTGTTGTGTTTGTTGTAACTTGCCTGAGGTCACATAGCTAGTCGGTGAAGGAATCACCAGAAACCTCCTGAAGCTTGACTGGGACTCCCCTGAGCATTTGACCATGCCCCTATTGAATTAGTCTAATTTTCCCACTAGGTGGCAGATGAAGAAACTTCATCTGGTGGGTGGAGACTTGGAATCTGCAGAGAGGAACTGAAGATCCTGCAGGAGCAGAACCTTTCTCCCAGGCAACACAATCAGGTACATACTCCCTGTCTCCAAGGGCTGCGTGTGTCAGATTGGTGAGAATACAGTGTCAATTCATACTGTTCTGTCCTGCAGGGAGGAATGGGAGTCCTCTCCCCTCACTTCAAGCTTGAGGCATTTGAGTAAGGGCTTCCCTGTATGGGAAGCAGTACTCGCTTCTAGAGGAGGCTTCCCTGCACTCACTCAGGACATGCTGGAAATGCTTTATTTCCACAAAGTGGCAGATTCTAGGAATCTCTTGTTTAGGGAGGATTGGTGGTGAGTCACTGCAGATAACTATAGGGAGAGGCAGAACTGCTGTCTTGAATCAGAAAGCAATCAAAGTAACAAGATCTAACATGTATTGAACAAATGCTACATTATCTGTAACTGTCACAATCGCCCTGTGTGGTGGATGTCTTTATGCCTATTTTACAGATAAGATAATTTAGAGTCACAGAGAGTCAGTAATTTCCCCAAAGTCACGTGGTACATAAATGACAGTGACAGAATTTGAACCAAGATAGGTCTAAATGCAAAACCAACCCTCTTAACACCTGGCCTAGATGCTAGACAAGGTCTTAAGCTGATTATTACACACATCTCCCAGTGCCTGACAGTGGGAAGGAGCCGTGACCTCCTGGAGGGATGGGACAGGTTTTACTAATATTGGTGGCCCCAAGCCTATCACAGTGCTTATCATATGATAGGTGCTCCCCACAAGTGGGGTCCCCTGACATTTGGACCCCACATTCCCACAGTTCAGCTTGGAGATTCTGACTATTTGGGAAGGCTACAGGTGGCGTAATTAAATGCATAGGATGTGCAATGAGCAGATTATGGTCCAACCCCTAGGACCTCCCCTTACGTTTTCCTTACCTAGTAGATGGCCACGTCTCCTGGGTGTGCTGTGAGAATTTCCTGAGCACGGGTAAGTGAAATTCCCACTTCAAAATGCATGCCCAAATAAGTCATGCCTATTCACCATTACTACTACTACTGCTACTACTAGCGGGACCCCAGTGTCTTCTCTTGTAATATGGTATGTTTGCACAAATAGTCTTTAAGGCATCCTTCAACTTTCAGTTTCTAGGATCGCAAGACCCTGCTTATTTACTGAGCAGGACCTCTTAAACTGTCAGAGACTTTAGTAATTCGTTTGAAATTGACTACTGACTAAAGCTCTACTCCAGATTTTTTCTTCTATAAGGATTTTTTAAAATCCTTACATTTGAAGTTTAGAGTTGTCTGTTACAAGGTTCCGACAGTTAACCTAACCTGTACTGGAGCCTAATATGGCTAATGACTGTTTTGCGTATGTGATAGCAATTTTATTCCTTTCTGTCATGACTTGCGTTGCCCCTCTCCCTGGAATAATGTCCCCAAACTCAACCTTACACATGCTTGCATTCTTTCATGATCAGATCAATGCCATAGTTTTTAATGTCCTCCTAGTATTTTTATCTGCACTATCCATAGCACTTCATATCATTTATGATGGTTACTTACAGCTATGTCCTAAACTTATATTCTAAATGAAAGACAGTTGAGGGTAGAAGTTATGTCCTATACATTCTTTTCCTCTTTGTGTAATGTCTTGCACTCAGTAATTATAGAGTACTATTTTTGGAATGAAGGAAAAAAAAAAGAGGAAGGAAGACAAAAAGAATTTGGTAGTATTAATTTTCTATTAATAAACTAATAGGTAGCGTTTTAATCCACTGCATTTGTGGTGATTGTTGCACAGATTACCACAAATGCAGTGGATCAAAATATTACCCAATTATTAGTTTACAGTTCTGTTGTTCAGAAGTCCATCACGGAATGGCTAGGTCATCTTCACGAACCTGAAATCAAGGTATCAAAAGGCTGAGTTCTCATCTGGATGCACTGGGGAAAAGTCTGCTTCCAAGCTTCTTTTGTTTGATGGCAAAATTCAGCTCCTTGTGCTTATAGGACTTGAGGTCACCGCTTTCCTGCTGGATGTAAGCTGGGGGCTACTTCCAGCAACTAGAGGCCACCCACATTCCTCTGCATGTGGTCCCCTCCATTTTCCATCTTCAAGCTAGGGTCAATAGGTCTAAATCTCTGATTTTGTCTCTGACCTCTAGACCCAGATTTAAAGGGCTTCTGTCATTAGGTCAGATTCATCCAGATAATCTCCATAGCTTAAGGTCAACCAATTTGAGACCTTAAATGTGTCTTCAAAATCCCTTTACAATAGCACCCACATCAGTGTTTGCTTATATAATTGGGAGATGTGTGTACATCAAGAAGTCAAGGATTTGGGAAACAAAATATCTGCTTGATACACTGATCAGTTACTTTGTTGAGCTAAATTATTTTGGACTTTTATTAGTAGGAGAACATTTATGAGTAAAAAGTCTGGGATCCACATACATAGTTTACATCTTGGCCTGCTGAACTATGATAATGTAATAAAATGGAAATTCTTCTAGGTTTGGAGTCACTGGACCCTATTAGGATCCTGTTTTACCACTTACACATCTGAGTTCCACTCAGGTCTCTTAAATGTTGAATGAAGACATTTCAATTAACTCATGGAATTGCTGGGCCATTAACTTCATTTAAGAGCTTCCCGGCAACTAAGATTAGGTATGTCTGGCAGCTTTTATTTAGGTTCAGACACAGATCTTCTGGCCTCACTTGTCTCCAGGGCCCTTGCCACTTGTTCCACGTCATGCACTTCTTTGGGCACAGGATCCGCACACGCTCTCAGCTCTTACTCGGTGGATTTCAAATAGACACCGCAGCATCCGCCTCATCTCGCAGGCTGACCTGGCCCACCTGTGGCTACTGCCGCCTGCTCTCTAGTTCCATGGCATGACTTGAACCAACTTCACCCAGAGGGTGACCTTTTGGGCTTCCTCAGAATCTGCTAAAGGGGGCAGGTAATAATCTGGAAGTGCAAAAGTATTAATTCCTCTGGGATGAAAGTTGGCCAGTAGCAGACAGGTGGAAATAATCTGAAAATTTTCCTATCTCTCCCATTCCCTGAAAACAAGACTGCTCCAGTGAGCGGCAGCCTCATATTCTCTGAGTTTGTCTCAGAAGAATAGTAAGCAGCTTATTAGTAATATGTATCCAGCTGTACTATGATGTAAACAAGCAGGCTAAAAACAAACAATTGATGTTTAATAGGAGTGAAGCAATCAATTTTGTTGCATTTGAAAACTACCTGGGTACTGGACCCCATGGCTTAGAAGGCCTCTCTCTGGCTCTTCTCTAGCTACTTTTTGCTTATGTAATATGTTTTCAGTGCCAATGGATTTCCCCACCTGGATTGCACCCTAGTTGAAATTTCTGCATGTGACACTCTCTTCCTCTTGCTTTATTTTTCCCTATATCTCAACCCACATTTGCATACAAATTATTCATAAATATATTTGTCTATATTCACTATCAGATATGAAACTCTCTGAGTTCATGACTGCCCTTTTGTATATGTAGTTTATTACACATGTAATACTTCATATACATTCTCCCAACAAACTTGAAAGAACATGCTGTTTTTCTCTCTATTTCATAAGTGAGAAAACTGAGGAATAGTGTACTAAAGACATTAACTCTCAAGATTCCATAGCTAGGCAATAGTGCAGTGAGGATTTTTAACCACTGTATTGTGCAAAAGCAACATCATAGAGGGTCATGTAAGTCATAGGAGGGAACAAGATAACTGGGAAGGTTCATAAAGTAGGAATTTACCCAATCTGGGACTAAGCCTGAGAAGCCCCAACATTATATAGATGAGTTAGGCTAAGGTGGTTGCAGAGGTCACTGAGAAAGAATGGCCTCAGAGGCAGGAGGAAAACCAAGTATTTGTGTCACCGATGTCAAGGGAAGACTGCGTTTCCTTTAGCTTTCTCTGAACTGATTTCATGTGTTCTCGTTGTCATTTCTATGGCTGATACTAAGTTCTGCTTTCACAAATGATCCAAGAAAGGTCCATAGTCACTATCACTGGAAGTCGGTGGCCTCCTCTCTACTCACCTTGGCCTGATCTGCAATCAGACCCATGCATACCCTACAAGGGTACCCCTCTCTGTAGATTTTCAAAGGATAAATAAATAAATCAGAGAGCTGATTTTCACAAGTCATATGTACCTATGCATTCATTTCCTAGGGCTGCCATAACAAAACAAAACAACAAAACAAAAAACACAAGACACAAACTGAGTGACCCAAATGACAGGAATTTATTCTGGAGGTTAGAAGTCTGAGAGCAAGGTGTCTTCAGGGCCACGTTCCCTCTGAAGTTTCAAAGGAAGACTCTATCCCAGGCCTTTCTCTTACATTCTGGTAGTTCCTTGGCTTATGGCACCATAACTCTTAGGTGTACACATCATTCTTTCCATGTATGTGTTTTTCTTCAAATTTCCCCTTTTTATAAGAACAATAGTTGTATTGGATTAGGGGCCCATGCTACTTTCGCATGACCGTGTCTTAACTAATTACATTTGCAATGACATCATTTTGAAATAAGGTCACATTCTGGGGTAATCGTAGTTAAAACTTAACATATTTTTTTTTGTAGGGGGACACAATTCAACCCATCGCCGCATATACACTCTTTCTGTTTCGGCATCCTTGTTTCCTTCTGAACACTGATGTCAGCCTTGGAAGCCATATGATATCACAGCTAAGCTGATGGGCTCTGGGTTCTGTTTGCTATTTACCAGCGGTGTGATTTGGAGCAAGCTACTTTGTCTCTCTATTCTCAGCTTCCTTATTTGTACACTTGGAATAACAATGGCTCCTATTCTTCTGAGTTGTCATGAGGAGCCAAAGAATTAGAATGCATGGAGCACTTCTCAGGGCACCTGGAATCTAGTGTGTACTAGATACATTTACTTGTTTATTACTATAAATCTATGACCTTGCATTTAGGTGGAGTTTGAATTTATAAAGCAGGTTTCCATATCTAACATCATTTGATCAACATAGAACCTTGTAGATTATGCCAGAATTTGGATCTTCACTTCCAAGACATGAAG